CGTTAGTGACGGACGGGGCAGAAAAGTTTTAGATAAATAAATAAACTTAAGAGGGGAAAGGTGAGATACCGGCAAATCCACTTTCAACTCCAGACAGGGCAACCTTTCCTTCCACTGACATCATTCCCCTCCAAGACCAGATGAAAGCCAAGCCTGCCTAAATATATTCCTCATCCTATTTGAGGAATGCTTTTGCAAGACAGATGGGAAGCATCTCTTGTTGTTTCTCCTTCACTTCTAGGTGGTTTTTGGCGCCGCTGCCCACCAAACTGTTCCAGAGAGGCAATGGAAGGAAGCGCATTGCTATGTTTCGGCTTTTACCTGGACAGACGGCTCCTGACAGGGATGCCTGGGCAATATTCCTTGGCTCTGCAGATTCTCCAACGTGGGGCTGCCCCAGCATCAGTTTTGCTCCCTGTGTGGCTAGCATGGCTTTCCTCTGTTCCCGGGGTTGATGGCATACAAGGTTTTTGGGCACCGCCCACTCAAGAGGCCCATAACCGCCAGGACTCAGAGACTCGCTGGCATCCTGTGCAGAGCGAGAGGAGTTTTGCCCCCCCCCCCCCCGCTCCTCCCGCTCTGCACATGTGCCAGATGGGGGCCTTCTGGATGGGGAGGGAAGGAGAGTGCAGAGACCCAGCGTATCTCCCACGCCTGCCTCTGTGCTCCTTACCCCTTCTGCGCTCCAGAAAGCCAGGGCAACTTCTCGACCTCGGAGAGGCTGCTGGCACAGTTCTTTCCATGACAGCTGCAGGGGAGGCAGCAGAGCGTCAAAGCACGGATTCCCAGCTCCGGCACTGGAGCTCCATCTCCAGCCCTGGATCTAGGAACGCTGGATTTCACATGGCCCCAGATGCTGCCTAGAGACCAAAGGGTCACTCCCTTAATGAGTTCGCTTCACTATTGCAGTATTTCATGCTAACTGGGAAGACGCAGTCTTTTCAATGTCTTTAAGTTTTTGCATGTTAAATATTTTACATTATGCATGTTTTATTGGAATCTTTGGAAATCGCCCAGAGAGCTTTGTCTATTGGGCAGGGTAGAAATGAAATAAATGCAATTCCACAGAACTGCAGAGTTGGAAAGGGCCAGTAAGGCCACTGGTCCAACTTCATTCAGGACTCCAATTTAAAGAATCCCGAGCAGATGCCTATCTCGCTGCCTCCAGCGTGGGACAGCCCACGACCACCCGAAGCCATCCGTTCCATTGCCCAATGGCACTAACAGTCAGAACATTTTCCCTGATGTTTTGCCAAGATTTGGATTCCTGTAACTTAAAGCCGATTAAGCTTTTCTCCGGGGTGACTAAGAAAGGGTCCTGGCCCTCTGTGTGACAAGTTCAGTCTTCTCTTCTCAAAGCTCCACATTCCCAATTCTTCCAGTCTCTCTGCATACAGCTTTGTTTCCAGTCCCCCAATCATTTTTCTTGCCCTTCTCTGAACCTTTTCCTTACATTCACTCTTATTGCATCATGCCTGTCTCCTCCTCATGCCATCCTTCTCCCATCCTAACTGCCGAATAAAATGTAGACTGGAAGCCCCACAAATGAGAGACCTGTTTGTTTGCTCCTTTTCTGCATTTCTTTTTCCTAGAAAGGTTAGCCTGAAACATTCCTCTGCAGTCTCAAGGAGTGGAGAAGGTGTCACACAACATACAATTTGTACCACTTAACAGTAGTCAAGAAGGTAAGTCCAACAGGTCTGTATAGCTCATAAAAAGTAGCAAAAGCTTATTTCCACTGTTGATTTTAGCATCAAGGAGAAAAGAAAAATCTTAATGGTGAACACTACCAGCTTGGCTCTAGAGTAAACTTCAGCTTTGCAGTCTCTTTCTGACAAGACATATGGATTTTTTTAAAAGTGCCTAGTTTTTTGTGGGTTGGTCAGAGTAATTTATAGACTACATTAAAAAAACACTGACTTGAGAGAATTTAACATGAGGTAGGTGCAAAGAGGTTCAATGTAACTTTTAGCAAGGGCAGAATTTTTTTTCTAAAAGGAAGGCTCTTAAATGATTGGAAAATGATCATCTCCAGTATCAAACTACATAAAGCTATTACTGTAAAATATTTTTAGATGCACATACACACATGCTGCAAAGTGAAAAAGATTCAACATTTCCCAGTTCACCAACTGCATCATCACAATGTAGCCAACACCTGCACAAGGACAGCAATTTGATCTGCCCTTCAGTGCTCTGCCACCAACATTAGTGAATGCCACAGTTCCACAATACACAGCAGGTGTACGAAGCATGGAAACCCTCCAGATGTTATACTGCAACACCCATCATCTCTGGCCACTTGACTGGGACTGATGAGTGTTGGACTCCATCCACCTCTGGAGACCAAAAGTTGCTTGCCCTTGTATAGAAGTCAGCTTCCCGAGAATCTTAAAAACAAGTTTCTAGCCCTGAATATATGATTTAACGGGCATAGGCAACACCTGGCAAAGTTTCAACATTCAGAGGGTGGAAAAGATTTTGTACAAGGGATGAGGCTTTTGCATCCTGTTTGGCTCTATGGTAAACAGAAGGAGAACATATTATGCTCAGCAGGGAAAAGTACAGAATAAGCTACGCCTAAAATGCAGCTTGTCTCAGTGCAACGGCAGGATTAATTCTGTAGCATGAAGTGCACACAAGATCTGCTGAAGCATTATTGCCCAAGAAGAATGGCGCTTTTATTTGAAAGCTTTTGGTAATTTGGGCAAAATTGGAGAAGTGCTAGCAGGCATTAAAAATGGCGAGATGAAAAATCGCAAGTGTACATCTAAAGCAAGTTGTGCCTCTGACGGACATCTTGGTTGTTTTGTCACTTCTTCATTGCTAAGACTGCTTTGGGGTCTCTGACAAGCGAGGGTCACCAGTCAGCACGTGAAGAAAGAAGCAATTCCTGAAGGGATGGATTCCCACAAGGGCTGCAAGAGACGTGAATGCAACCAGGCCAAAACAGGAGAGGTGGAGCAGAAGATCCTTGCGATACGAAACTGAGAGCAAGCTCGTCACATGCTTTCAATACCAGGCAGTCACTTCACGCTGCGGGCTCACACGTAACGGCACAGCTGCATGAAACAGATCGGCCACTGCATGGCAGCTGCCATTACCCAGCGGCAGACGCTCTCGTTCAACACAATCTGCAAGTCACTTGCTCCCATGTACAGCCATTTGGAAACAAGGTCAAGGAAGGTGAGAAGGGTAACTCTGCATCATTAAGGCTGGAAGGGAAGCAAGTTTCCACAGACTTATGGGGGGCAGAGCAAGGGTGGGGGGGGGAGGAGTCAGCGAGAATGGGTCAGTTGAAGAGCCGAGCCAAGAGAAAAAAACAAAGACAACAGAAATGCTCACAGAAGGTACTTGGGCCTTGCTCGGTCAGTCACTAGCCCAATTTTTTTGGATGGGCAAGGTTTTTGCAGACTAGGCCTCAGATAACTGGGTAATTTAACATCACACCTTCCCCGCAAAACAAAAACACTCAAACCAATAAAATGCTCATCTGAGTCATGGCCAAGATGCGAGCGAGAATCCAAGGTGCAAACATGTCACTTTTTGTTCCTTGACAGCCAATGGAAGGTTTGTACCACGTGGTACAAACCACATTGTACCACGTTTGTTCCTGAGACCAACCTGCCTTCAAAGCTGACCCAATATTATGATTAGTTACACAATCGGTGATCTATCAGTTCATCTCCTGATGTTTTGCACTTCAGCTTTCAGCATTCACGACTACTCTCAGGGGCTTCTGGGAGCTGAAGTCCAAAGCACCCGTGCTGCTATTTTCTGCTACTGGTGGTCCACAGTGCTACTCTTAGGCAAGCAGAGTGGCTACAAATGGGTTTGGAGCAACCTGTCCCACCGAAATTAATGTTCTGGGGAACAGTAAGCAACTGGGTAACCATAAATCTTTCCATCTCTCCCCCCCACGCCAAGAATTCATTTCTACCGAAAACACCACCTCCCACCGCAAGAGAAACCCTTTTGGCAATGGTGGCAAGTTGCTCCAGTTCAGGCCGACCCCACAGGAAGCCTCTTAGTGGCCTTCCTGCCTGCCTGATGCTGGCGTCCTTTGCTCTCCCCGCATCCCTGGCTGCCAAGAGCAGGCGACACAAACTGCGAAATGGGAAGCAGAGGAGCAAGCGGGCAGCCCATGGTGAAGGCTTCCACAGGCCACGGAGCTGCCCTGACGTGCCGGACTAGAGCGTCAACGGGCAGCTTCAGGAGGCGCCAAAAGAGCGATCGCAACTGCCCATTTGCTGAAAAACAGTGAGGAGATGGGTAGGAGAAGAGACACGAAGCAGCTTGCCCTGGCTTGACCTCTGCCTGGAGGCAGTGGTTCCCCTCACCCAGAGGCGGAACGTACCTGTGCGCACCCCATCGCCTCTTTTCCCAACCAGGCAGAGAGCGTAACGTGCGAGCGTCATGCGCAGTGAACTTCACCGCTAATCCATGCTGGGTTCCCCCGCATAAGCGTTTTGCGGGGGCAGAGCTGCGCTAATCGCGTCTCTGCAGGCACAGCTCTCCACATGGAGCACCCTTCGCACACTCTCCACCGCTGTATACGCACCCCTCTCCCTTTACACCCGCACGATGTACAAACCGGCTGGCAGTGTCTCCCAAATGCCCGCATTGTTTAACAGCCGGTCTCGCTGAAGCGCAGAAAGCAGAGCAGTGTTAGAGCAGCTCCCCTCAGCACCAAGGGGTGTCTGCCAAGGGCTGTCAAAGCGTCAGCCACGTTGAAGGTGGGCCCAAGGCAGAGAAGTACCCGAAGGGGAGAGGCACCCACCGCATCATGTGGCTTGGGAGCCCAGACGACACGTGACCTGTGGCAGGTCACTAGTTCTCACAAAGCGTTCCCCCCCCACCGGCCCGCCAAGCTCCCCGTCGCCTTTTGTGGCCCTGAAAGGCAACTGCAGCAGCGGGTTTGCCAAGGCAAGCTCATGCAGACGTTAGTATGAGAGAGGACCGTCCCGTCACCACACACAAAGTACCTTGAAATAACCTACTTGGAAGTCTCAAATGCAGATAGGTCTTCTGCCCTGGGCTTGAGGCTAAATCGGCAAAATGGGAACAAACACAAAGAAGGTCCTTTGTGAAATCAGGAGGGCCAGCGTCCCAAAGGTGGATTCCTTACAACACTACGGGATTCTGCCTGGCGGTTCCAACCCATGGGCACGGTTCCCCAGGAAACCCACTGCTGTGGCTTGAGCAGCAGGACATTCCTGTGGGGCCGTGCTCCATATTAATTCAAGGGGATGGTAAGACTAATCGGATGTTTTTTCCTCATTTACTAATACGCCAGAGCTGGCAGCTGCTAAGGGCTGGTCAGCTCAACTTGCATGCGTGGGGGATCCCTTCTTTGTCCTAGCACTAGACATCGCTCAGCGTGTGATTGAGAGCAAAGATTTGCCATGCAGGCAGACATGAGATCTGTTCCGATGACTGTCCTTGGGAGGAGGTTTATTGACAACACTTACATACGCTCGACATCTAAGCACACTCTGGAGCAGTGAACAATAAAAGATAACAAGAATAAAACAACCCTAAATTAAGATGTTTTTTTAAAACAGAGCACCAAATTAAAAACATATCCGGTTGATCAAGGAAGTCTTCTAGAAATACCGATGCTGTAAACAACGCAGTGTTGAAGCGGGGTGTTTCAGAGAAAGGGGGCCACCGCACAGAAGGTTCTTCTCTCTTCTCAGGTCCATGTGCCATCTGTCTGTACCATCAGATGACCTCAGTGATAGGACAGGCAGACAAGGGAGAAGGCACTCTCTTGGATATCCTAGTCCCAAGTAGTTTAGGGCTTTATCCATTAGTAACAAAACCTCAAACCTGGTTTTGTTACTGATAGCAAATAAGCAACCAGGACGGTTCCGTCAGCCAATGGCCTGCATGCTGGAAAGTGCAGCTCCTGGCACAAACACGCTGCTGTTTTCTGGCCTAGCTCCAGCTTCCAGACCAGCCTGAAGGGCAGCCCCACATGGAATGCTTTGCAGCACTCCAGTCTTGAGGTCACTGGTACCACGGGGGCCGAGTTATTGCTGTCCAGGAGAGGCAAGAGCTGGCAAACCAGCTGCAGTTGTTAAAAGCTGCACCAAGCTGCCAAGTTGTCCATGGGACTCCGGCGACACTGATGCAAGCTCAGCTTTCACCAGGCAAGCCTGATCAAGGCAAGCCCTAGTACTGGTAGACACAGGAGAAACCCAGAGAGGTCCACACAGCACGTAACTAACATGGGCTGCCCTTAAAGATGGGGAAGAAATTTGGGGAGTTCCTGTTTTCGTGCAAACTTGGATAATTTCATTCTTTTAGGCCACAATGCAAACTAAAACTCAGTTTTCCGAATTTTGAAACACAGCCCTCCAAATAAAAAAAGAAACATAAAAGAAAATGTTCAAATATGCATTGTACTGAGAAACTTATTGGCAAAATGTATGTATTAGGGGAAACGCACACAAAAATGCTTATCAGTTTTCAGCAAAACTCTTTTAAACCTCTCAGAGTTGGGAATGAACTGAGCTTAAGACTGGATGAAATGCCAGGATCTGAGTCAAACCCACGTTAAGAATGGAAAAATAAGAAACTGGAGAGGAGCAAAGCTGACAGGAATTCTCCATCCCTAGGTGCTGCATGTGTGCATCGACAAGGCTTAGATTGCTTTAAAGACAGGCTCAGGGAGATGCGCAGAGGACAGCAGCGGCTGGACCCGAGAGCCACAGTAGCTCAATGAAACAACCACGCTCTGAAGCTGGACACTGGGGCCAACTGCACGCAGGCCCTGCTCGTGCGCTTCCTGGCAGCGCTCGCTGGCCACTGGAGGGAAGAGGCAGCTAGATAAGATCGGCTGCTGGCCTGCTCCTACATTTGTGTGTGCCGAATTTGGGAACGGTCAGTTAGCTGCCTCTTTCTATTTAAAACGTTGGTCTTTCTTGGCTTGCGGAACTTGGGTCAGGGGCCAGACTGAAGGGACAGGCATTCCCTCAGCCACCACCCCCCACAGCCTGACACAGCAAGCTTACACAAGAGCACTTCCGGCAGATATAGCTTTTTCAACCTGTTTATGTCAACCTGCAGCTGCTAAGATTTCCCTTTTCTGAACTTCTGCTAATGATTTCTTTTAAAAACCAGGCGTGTTTTTCGCATCTTAGATTGGGAGTTAAGCTGGCCCTTGGGTCTGAAAAGGTTGCCACTGTTGGTCTACCTCACAAGGCTCTTGTGGAAAAAACATGAGAGAAGGGATAGGAAAGAAATCAGATTGAACTGATGAAATGAGGCAAGGCCAACAGCTCCCGTTTCTTGTGCAGAACAATCCATAGCAGCCTTCTCCAGCCTGTTAGCCTCCAGTAGCTGTGCTGGCTGAGGATGATGGGAGCTGCAGTCCAACACTTCTGGAGGGTGTAGGTTGGGAAAGGCTGCCCCACCAGCTTCTTACAACATTTGCTCTACCTGAAGGCTAAAAGAGGAGCCTGTTGCTTAAAGAGGAGACAAAAGCCCTGGTGATTTAAAGATATTCCAAAGACTTCTCTATACTCACCAAATAGTCTTATATATGCAGTTATCATTTAGCTGAAATGGGAGCCCTACAGCAGGTCAAGTGCGCAGAGATTGTCACAAAAGAAGGCCATTTTAGCACAAGAAGTTTAAAATAAGCATTGGTTTTGCCTTGTCTCCAGTTTCATCTGCCTTGAATAGGATTCATAATATGGGGAGGGAGGCATCAAAATGATGTTTGAAGGGAATCTCTGTTCAGGACACTACTGTGGGGCAACGAGAGGGGAAGGATTCTGCTTTCATATCCTGCCTGCAGGCCATCCAGAGGCAGGAAGCCAGAAATCTGGACTAGCTCCACCGTTCTTCTACAAGGCTTTCCGAATGCCACTATGAAACGATTGCATTTCCCCCCTGCAGTTCTAAATGGTTTTCTGCCACAGCTCTTTTCATTTATAAAAGGAGATCTCCACTCCAGAACATACATGCTGCCTTTCATTTAAAAAGAAATACATCAATTAGGGCCACACAGCAGCAAAGCTGTAAAAAGGAGAGGGGGCTGAGAGACAAGCAAACCTCAGCACAGCCCACACCGCAACAAGCTTCCAGACAGCAGCACTTTCCACTGGCACAGGGTAACCCAGCCTCCCCACAGCTAGATGCCCTCCAGATGTTGCAGAATGCACCTCCCCAGCACTCATGATGACTGGCTAAGTTGGCTGGGGCTTATGGGAGTCACAGTCCAAAACACCTGGAGGGCGGAGAGAGGGGGGCTGTCTCTTGCTCATTAAGCTTTCCAGATAAATTCTTCTGATTCTGAGGAGGTGGCAGGGGATGGGGAGGCGAGAACTTTGAAGTTCCGAGGCTACCTAGTGAAGGTTCTCGGGCAGAGCTAAGAATTGGCTTGTTTTGAGGGGGGTGGAAGGCTTTTTGGGAGGGGAGGGGGAGCAGAGGCAAGACCCAGGCCTTGGCTCCGTAAGGCGGAGATCCAAGAAACATGCTGCCCCATTAGGGGGTCTCCCTCAAGCAGCAAGAGCCACCCCGAGAGTGGAGTCTGAAGCCCTACTGAGAGGCAGGGAGTGCAGGAAAGTCCTCAGTTTGGATTCAACTCTTTACATGGGCAGATGCTTCTCCCTCGACTTTAGGAGCAATCTGTTAAATTTCAATAAAAGAACTGCACTTCAAAGGATTGTCTTACGTTTGATAGCCAGGAGGGAAGATGGAAGGGTTGGGCTCCTGACCAAGAAAGGACGTCAGGTTGCAGAAGGCTGCTGGGGTGGATTGCTGAAATGTGCCACACCTGCGGCTGTCTCTGAAAAAGGCCCAGAAACGTCAACTGAGCCACATGGGGCAGCAAGACTGTTAATGGGGACTGGCTCATGAGAAAGGATTTTCCAGCTGGCACCCACTCCAAGTGCTAGTACTATTGTTCAAGACTCTAAACGGCGCGTGGCCAGAGTGTCCACAGGACTGCCTCCTCCCATAGGGAGCTACCTGGACCCTGAGGCCGTCTTCAGGGGTCTGTCTATGGGAGCCCCTTCCAAGGTCATCACCAGGTTGTGGCACGCAGAGGGAGCTCTCCAAAGAGCGGTGCCGGGCAGGCGAAGACCTTTCAATTTTCCCAGCATTTTAACAGTTTCACTTTTTAACTTTATTGCATCCGCTGCTACGCTTCTACCCTGATTCACTTGCTATCATGACTTTGTTGTTTTAAATTAACGTTTGCCTGTGCATGTGTCTTTTAAACCTTTGTTTAACTTTTGCTAACTGCCCAGAGAGCCTCAGCTATTGGGTGGTGCATGCACACATACAGCCAGCTTACAGCTCTAGCAAGCCATTTTATTACTTCAGTTTACTGTACCACTGACAAGATTTCCTGGCTCCTGGGGTCCACTGAGCCTCTTCAGTCCTTTGTGGAGGGGCAGGGGAAACTATCCCTTGTGGTGGCTTGTTAAAAAGGGGGTGCTTCTGCAATCCCCTGAGCATGCACAGAAAGAATGCCCCTCTCCTCAGTGGTCCTATTGCGGCTCCACTCCCATCAGCCTGGGGCCACAGAGGACACCCTGGCCAATACTGCATCCGTCCCACTCCCCTAACACAAGCGCCACCCTCAAGTGGCCAAGGAAAAGGATGGCTGGGCAGAGGCGGGCACCCTGAGCAGGGAGCAGGTTCTCTCAGCGTTGTCCCAAGCGGTCCCATTTGTGCAGATGCCCTGACCCCCGCCCCCTGCCCCCATCCTGGGAGGGATGCTACCCTTGGTCATCACTGCTGCAGCAAGAGCAAGACTGCCCCTCACAACATCCCAAATGGTAGATGGACCGTGCCCACTCCAATGGGGCCGGGCCAGGGAACCTGGCATGGCAAAAGCCCCCTCCCCACACGTGCCCCCTCCCGGCATAACGAGGCAACCCAAAAGGCTTCTTCCGTCCCTGCCCGCCCCAGTGCAATCAGCGAAGGATTCAGCTCAGGCTGGCAGCCGCCATCCTCTGCTTGGGGGCCAGTTCCCTTCCAAGCATGGCCTGTCGCGACAACTAAGTTCTTCGCAGTTCCTAGCGCTTGGGTGCAGAGAGCTTCCCTCTGGCTTCCCGGCTTGCCTTCTTCCGCCCATGAATCAATTTAGGACAGCTGGCCCACTTACCAGCACGTTCATTTACAGCCCCCAGAACCTGCCAGACACAAGGCCCTGTTTTTGATCAAACTGCTTGTTGTGCAGCAAAACTGTTCCTGGATTAAATCACATCAGTCCATGTGCAGATAAGAACGCGCCTGATTAAATGCTCCTGCATGTCAAAACTACACATCAAGAAGAAAGGTTCAGGCCAGGCTTTCTACCCGTAGGGATTCCTCTCTCCATGGCAGAGCATTCGCTCCTGCAGTCCCTCAGCCGCCCTCTGAGGTGGTACAGTCCAGAACAGCTTTAATTTGCGGAGGGGGTAAAGTGGGCCTTCAGGGAACCTCAGAAAGGAAGCCCAAGATATTTGGGGAGCAAGGTTCTTTTTGGGGGACAGCAGGCCATGCAGCTGGGGCAAGGACTCTGACTGCGGCTGTTGGACATTCACTGCACACAAGTGTGCAACTCCGAAAAGATGTAGCTACCCCAAGGACTGCCAAGCTTCATGCGGAGCAAGAACCTGGGGATTGGCCCAAAGAAGCAAAGGAACAGGGAAACGCGGGTTAGGACAGCCTGAGAGCACGGCAACTTCTGCGGAAGGATTCAGGAGGCTGTGGAATATCCCTATGATGCTTAAGGCCATGAACCATTCGAAAATAAGAAATGTTAGCAGGTGTTTCTTGCTTGGAACTTCTAACACAAACTGCTCCTTCAAAACATCTCCCTGCACCAGAAAGCCTAGAGCAGCCTTGCCCAACCTTGTGCCTTCCAGACACGTATGAACTGCAACACCCAGAATCCCCAGTCAATGGACCTGTTGGGTGGGAACTGCGGGAGCTGCAGTCCGAAATGTCCCTGAAGGCCACCAGGTTGGGAAGGCTGGGCTAGACAGCCGCAATTTCACAAGCTCAGCCAGCTCCGTTTGGTAAAGCCCCCTAACACAGCAAATGCCCCAGTACCTTCTTAATGGCGTTGTGCTTGCTACTGCCCCGATCGCTGTTCTCGCTGTGAAGTATATCCATCGCCGTCTCCCTCTCCTTCAACTTCAGAGCCTCAATTTCCGTCTTCAGCTCATTCAGCTGCTCCTGCAGGTGCTTGCTCTTCTCCATGTACTCCACCCTGCAAGCAAACCAGGACAAGTCTGCCCCACTCGTAAAACTCCATGATTACGCAGACATGGCTAAGCTGCATGCCGGGCTCCCTATTTAATTATCCCTGAAGCACTGCCTGGGGGGCGGAACTGATGGCAGTGCTCTGAGCGGCACCAGAAATAGTTACTGGGCCATCTTCCCCTGCTTCTCCCCGTCCACAGTTCGCAGTATCTGGACTGAAGCAGCTCGAAGCGCTGGAGCACCTGGCCAACCTTCTCACCACAGGCAGGCGATCAGATCTACCCATGGGAAGCCAAGGATGTGCAAGGGAGCTGCGCAAACGTGTCCACCTGCCGGGGCCGCCAAGGAGGCTTCAGTCGGCCGCTCGGCTTTCTGAGCTGCTTCTTTATTCATTCAGATGACACAACGAGGAAGGACAAACCACTGCCCAGGCGACATTTGGGGTTTCTATGGAAACCAGTGCTCCTTGCAACCAGGGTGGGCAACCGCCTTCAGCTTGGGGGCCAGATTCCATTCCTGTGTGTACACAGTCAAAAGCAAAGGGGGCACAGCAACACCCACATTCTGTGGCTTAAAGCTCTTACTACCAGTGACCAAGCTCAGGAGGGGTGTTTTAATTTTTTAGAATTTGGGGTGGAGCAGGGAGAAACTGCACAAAAGCTGGGAACACCACCCCATCAAGGGTCGGGGAAAGGGCTTTGGGGTCTGGAGAAGCACGTGTGGCTCTTTGGAAAACCCAGAAGAGCCAGATTTGTGCCCAGACTTGAGGCTGGCCACTTCTGCCAGGGGGTTTAGGCTCAGAATGCCAGGTCCTTGGCTACTAAAAGCCATTTCTGGCAGGACCTCTGTGCGTCAGGTTAACTCTCACAAAGGCCTTCTGCGCTGCTTCCAAGCAGCGCTATCCGCCGAAATGTTACTGCTATATAGGTTCAGGACAACGCACTTTTCTTTCTCTATCTCCATGGATAATCTCTTCATGTCGGTATCCTTGAAGTCAAAGGACAGGCTTTCGCTGATGAGGCTGAAGGTCGGCAAATCGGCGGGCATTGTGGGTGTGCTTGAATTCATGGGCTGCTGAAGACGAAACAGAGATTAATCACCGGTGCAGGTTAACAGCAGCTGCCTGCTCAAAACAGTTCCCGGCTGATGAGGCAAGAGCAAAGAGGCAGGGCTTGGCGCAGGTTTAACAAGACAGAGCCCTGGCAGGCGCTTGCAGCTTTGTGTTCAGCCTGGCACACCAGAAAGGCCCAAGCTCTTGCAGCTCCCCCATATTGGGAAGAAAATGTGACCGGAACCACCATGGGAAACGCACTGCAGCAAAACACCAAAACAAGTGTCCGCATTTTCTCTGCATGTGCACCCACATGTCGAAACAAGCCAGTTTCACAGCTTCGCCTTGGGAGATGTACCTTGAGGCCGGGGGGCTCCCATTCCAGAACTGGTGGGCCAACCCCCCAAAGAACTGGCGGCTGAAGAAGGGAGAAAGAGGCCAGGAGCAAGGGGCGTGGCCATCTGCAGCGCTCCGGAGGGCACTGGAAAGCCTGGAGGGCTGGATCTGGCCCCTGGGTGTGGGGTGCCCTGCTCCTGCGTCAGACGGCCAGCTGCTGTTGCGGAGCCGCCCTCTCAGGCCGCAGGCTGTGAAAGTCCCACGAAGCCTGTGAGGGAGCTGAGCCTGGGCTGCAGAACAAAGACAACCCACCGGAATCGCTTCAGCTGGAAACGATCACTCATCCTGCAGCTGTTTCACACCTGGCACACTGTTGGCAACACCTGGATGTGACCCTGCTTTTGTCCATCTGTTTTTAGAGCACTGGACTGGGGACCGGGGGGACGGGACCCCCATCCTCAGCCATGAGGTTCTCCCCGGGTGCCTTCGAGCCAGTCACTCACCTCACACCTAACCTGCCTCACAGGGTTGCTGTTGTGAAGATAAAACTACGGAATTATGCAAGACACTTTGTGTTCCTCACAAGAGGAGAAAAAAAAGGTGAGGTGCATATAACAACAACAACAACAACAACAACAGTAGAGCAACATCCGAAAACAGTTAAATGCCCCCCATACTTTCCTAATGCAGGAAGCATAATGAATAGCCACGGCCGCCCCTGGAACACTGAGGACTAGCACAAGGTAGAAGAGTGCTGAGTGAACAAGCGTTTCACCCACGTAGCCTGGACTGATTTGGCTTACACTGCAATTCAAATGGACACGTTTAAGGCTAGGAAAGAATCCCAAGGTGGGCTACTGAGGCTTTTAAAGCAGGGGAATTGCCTTAATGTGTCGCTTGTGGCTTAACTCACTTGCTTCAATTGCCTGGAGCGATTTTGCCCCCGCGATGCCTCCAGCAAGGCCTAAGTGCTGCGAGCTGCACAGGCAAATGGCGTGGGAGAAGATGGGAGGATGGATGGTTCTGCCTTGCAGCCGGACGCAAGCGAGGCAGCCTTTTGTGCTTTCCAATTCTGAAAGTCCATAAAGCTGGCATTTATTCAGAAGTAGGACAGTGCAACGGAATCCTACCCTCAAATTGGTCCGAACAGCCAAGCTGATAACCATAACTCTCCTGGACAGCTGTTGTCAAGGCGAAAGTGCTTCACAATGAATGAATTTCACAACTCACTTGAAAAGCCGACAGCTCAAAAGTCACCATCAAGCACTTTCTTTCAGAAGACAGAAGAGGAGCTGTGGGTACCAAAGCTACAAACAGACCAATATAAAATGCTTTTCTTGCTTGATCTGTGCACGGCACTTCTAGGAAATGGCATCTTAAGTGTGTGTATGCAGATTTCCCACAATCCACTCTGAGGCCCCTGTGGACGCACAGCATCACCCAAGAGCACTGCCTCACACCTTCCACTGACGGAAATGCACCTTCTCCACCTGCTGCTGCCTGGTGGAGCTCGGACTGGGCTTCCTCCCTGTGGCCATGCTGTGACTATGCGTCAATCTATTCATGCAATAAATAAATAGAAGGGAACTAATATTGATCTGATTTGGAAGTGATAATTATGGTAGAGCTGCCCAAAACAGCATTTGCCTTTTTTGCAGCCACATCACATTAAAAAACATAGAAACATAGAGCAAGTCAGAAGGGGTCTCCTGGGCCATCTAGTCTGACCCCCGGCTCTAGCCAGCTCCGCTCATGACATGCCTACCATGTGTACGCACTTGAACACCCTCACCAATGGGGCCTCCACGACCTCTCGTGGAAGCCCATTCCACACCCTCGGGGTCCTAACTGTCAGGAAATGCTTCCTGGCATCCAAATGAAACCTTGGCTCCCTGAGCTTTGCTCTGTTGGGGCGAGTCCTGCCCTCCTCTGCCGGGGAGAACAGGTCTCTACCCACCTCCGTGTGACACCCCCTCACATACCTGTATGTCACCAACAGATCCCCTCTGAGTGTCCTCTTCTCCAGGTTAAAAAGGCCCAGTTCCCTCAGTCTCGCCTCATACAGCTTTCCCTGCAATCAGCTCCTATTCAGCTTGTGATCTACAACCATTCCAAGATCCTTCTCACTTGCAGTACTGTGTAGCCAAGTATCCCCCATCTTCTAACTATGCATTTGGATTCTTTTTCCTAGGTGCAGAACTTGGCAGTTGTCCCAATTAAATTCCATTCTGTCTCTTTGATGCAAGTATAAAGAGAAGGTTTGCCAATATGCTTCTTGACTTTCTGCTTCAAGCAGCAGGCTGGCTTACCTATTGCTAAGTCAAGTTTACTCCAGGATGGCTATGTTGACAACTACTGCTGGAAGCCACGGCTTTTCAGAACAAGTGTACCTAGCACAAAGATACATTTCTGAAAATTTAAGCAAGACATAAACAAAGATCCTGCGGAGAAGGTAGCAGAGGGCTGCATAACAAGGGGAAGCCATTTTCTTCTGGAACATTTTTGGCTCTGTTGCAACTGGGGTGTGCAGCCAAGCCACCATCCTGCCGTTATCCTTAGTTCTATTTCAGCTCTTGGGCAAAACTCTACTTGCAGCGTCTGCTGATTAACGTCCAGTGAGAACACAGCGTGCAAGCAGGACCAGAAATCTCTGCTCTGTTCAGTAACGATCAGAAAAATGTCTAGCCAAGGACATGCAGCTAGACGTCTTCCAAGCCAGGATTCCTCCGACACCAGGACATCTAGCACAGCAGGGCAAGCTGGAGCTGCCAGCTTGGCTCACCTAGGCAGGGAACGAAACTCTCGGAGGGCCAAACAGTTCCCACTCATCCCCTCCCGTTTTAATCCCACAGAATTGCTCATGCTGCACTTCCAATATGCAAAGCTTTTCACATGCCTTTTCATCATTACATACTGAGAGGGAAGAGGGGCTGAGAGGCACAAGGCCTGAGGAAGGTCATGTACCCGGGGCCAGTTTAGGGGTGGTCCTGGGGCACACGTTTCTCAGGGGTGGCCCTGCATCACTGGAACCCTCTCCAGAGAGAGATGGATGGCTAAAGATGTAGGAGAACTTCGCCTTTGCTCGTAAAACATACGAGCATTTGCTCAAAGCAACTGCCAGTATGGCTCTGACAAAAACATTCACTAAGGGCTGGGCGGGCCCTCCAGTTTGAGTCGTGCAACTTGACCCATTCAGCTTTGCACAAAATTCCCTCACAGAATGAATGAGCCCCACTTCCGTCTATGGAGGAAAGTTGTGTGAAGTGGGGAAGCTGGGCAAATTTTGCATTTGGACATTGCAGGATTTACACTGTGTTCCTGCTCATGCACTTGCACACATGAGCAGGAATCAGGCACAAGACAAGTGGAGAGGAAATGTCCAAGCGATCCTAGTAATCTACGAGCAGAGCACAGCTCACCTGCCCATCCCTGCACGGGTCTCCACCGCAGCTCGCTCTTAAAGTTAGAAGAAACCCTGCAGCCATTTGGTGCTAAAATCCTTCGCTGCTTTGCATGCTGTGTGTGCCTCACTGTGGGCAAGTGTCTTTCTTCATCTGATTCTGGGATGTCAATGTGCATCTTTACGGTGGGAAGGGGGCATCTCTCTCTCTCTCTCTCTCTCTCTCTCTCTCTCACACACACACACACACACACACACACACACACACAATGAATCTTCATGTTCTGAGAGTTTTCTAAATGCATTTCTAAATGCTCTGTGAGAATGGCAGGTTAAAAATCCCATAATCATAATCCCATAATCATAATAATAACTGAAGTGAGATTTAATCCAGGGGCTATAATACTGTTAACTATAATGCTGAACTTGTACTCATTAAGTGATAGCACAACCTGATGTATCATCATAAAAACCATGGGGGGAAAAACCAAACTGATCCAGAGACTCTTGTTTCTATGATCCTAAACCATCTTTAGCCTCTATTCAGCTCCGAGGCCAGCCCTGCGCCATGTTTCACGGCTTCGCGAAACCCGCTCTTTGGTTTTTTCCTCCAGTTCTCCACTCTAGCACCTTCTCTTCATGTCAGATTGGCGTTCCGGTCCCTAAGCAACCATGTCTATGAAGTGGCAGAAGAACCCCTTGGAGACCCAAAAAAGCTAATTAGGCAATCTGGTGGCTGGCACCAGACCTGTTGTCGGCTCTGGCAGCCACCAAATGAAAAAGACAAGCAGAGAGTATTGGTTGTAAAGCTTTCTCTGATGAAGCACACCAGCAACAAGTGTTCAACTCCGGGGGCCTCCGGCTAGAAGTGGCAGACTCGTTTCAGTACCACAAGTCAATACTCTTAAAAGCTTCTGGATGGTTGCAGAGAGCCTCGGAGAATCCAGGGGGGAAGGCCATTAAATTCAGGCCACCTTTGTTCTGCTTGTTTAAACACTCACTCAGGGTGATGCAATATCGAAGATAAATTGGGAAGGCAAGAGGCTCCGGAATGGCTGTAAAAATCAGCCTGTTTATAGGGCTTATTTGTGACTGCAAAACTTGGCTCGCATCCTCCTCTTCCTGCAAAAGGAGCCAACTATTTATTTCTAAGGAAAACATACAAACAAACACATCCCACACTTCCGGAAGTCTTGGTTTTATGCAATATTGGAGTGGGGGTGGATACAGAACATGATTGCCCTTAATTATGATCAAATCAGCTTTCCCATACTGTACAGTGTTCTTGGTATTATAAAGATTTGCAAAACCTCCCTGCCAGTATCAGCAGTCCCCTCAAATACAAGGTATCCTGACCAATCCATCAGCCTCCACTACAAACTTGCCCACCTTGGGAAGAGTTATGGGATAAGTAGTTGCCAGAGGAAGGAGCACTGTGACGTGCTGCTTACAGCCTGCCAATAGCAAGAGGAGGTGAGAAAACTGGCACAGGTGCTCCCTGGGAGGTGAATGAGCCACCCCGTATCCACAACAGCAGTTCAACCAGCTTCCAAGGCAAGGCTACAGTGGCCTTCCCCAACCGGCACCCTGCTGATGCATTGGACTATACTGCCCATCATCCCCAGAGCACCACACAGAGAGGGTGCCAGCTTGGCAATGGCGAGACTGCCCTTTGCTGTCTCTGGCAGCAGCCACATTCCCATGTCCAACACAGGAAGGGGGGCACTGACAGCACCACAGCTTTCTGAATGCCGCAGCGCTGAGCCACCCGAGCACGGGGCGGTCGCCAGGCAGCGGGCCAAAGCAAGCCGCCTCGCGACTTCACATGCGTCATTCTGCACCACAGGAAGCTGCTTCACGCTGAGCCAGAGCCCTGGTCCATGCAGCCCCGCTCGGGCTGGCAGCAGCATGCCCCCACCCTGGGTTCCAGGCAAGGATCTTTCCAGCCTGAAGCAGATGCTCTTCCCCTGAGCTGTGACTGCCCCACCGCCCCGCCTCCTCCCTCAGCCGTTCACAGCGCCTGGCCCATCACCACCGTTCAGCCTGCTTCTCCGCCCACGTCCGCCCAGTTCCTGTGCGGCCATCCTGACAGGCTCATGACTTTCCCCTAGGAGTACGCAAGTGAAACCTCCTCGGGAGGAGGCACGGCTCAGTGGTGGCGAGCACACCTTGCATGCAGACGGCCCCAGCTTTCAGCCGCCAGCTAGGTTGAGAGGGAACCCACCGAAACCTGGCGCACCACCGCCAGTCTCCAACATGCTGGGCTTTGGAGGGCCAGAGGATGGACTCCGTGGAAGGCTGGGCTTCCTTGGTCCTCGACCGGGTTGCTCCACTCCCCGCCCCCTTTCCCAGCTTTAGTGTTGAGCCAGTTCAGACAGGGATGCCGGTCTGCACAGCTGCACAGTGGCTCTCTACAAAGGGAGCGCATGAGAAGCTAAACCGAGTAAGTGGACCATGGGGCTGCAGAGAGCCCCACAGTGCCTCATCCCTGCTCCACGGCAACAAGTCCTTCTGATTAACACATGCAGCCATTTAACGAGGCACCACGTTTTGCTCCACTTAAAAATCCATCGCCTTCCAGTTTAAGTAGAGATCTTCTAATTTTTCTACTACTAAGAGGATGATAAAAGGATTTCAGGAGTCAACTACCTGCTAAAAATTACAGGAACAGATGCCTAAATCTCACTAACTCAAAACAGACTGATTGCTCTCACAAAGCACACAGCGGGGTAGTCCAGTGAGAACCCCAAGATTAGGAAGACGCTCTGGTACCCCTGGTGCCTTCAGTGAAGGAAAATTGCCACTGCCTTTACCGTGTAATGTGGGCAATCAGAGCATGAAGAAGAAGCCTTGAAAATCAACGTTTTCCTTTTCAGGCGGGGAGCAGAGAGGTTTTAAGACCTCAAGGTAGGAGCAAGAAGTGCTGCCAGTTCCTGCTAAAAGCCTTGGAAAGTTTTGGCATTCTCCAGACTTCTTAAGCGAATACGGATCAGCTACTCCTTTTGTCTCCCATCTCCCTGGCTTTGCAGGTATATTTCTCCCAAGACTCTCAGAAAGCCCTCACTATGAAAATCAATATAGTTCTGGCCATTTTTCTTAAGCTCCAATTTAAAAATGCACAGATTGTTACATCCACTCTGCCTGTGTTTTGTGGATTGTCAAGTGTGTTTGACTCATTCCACTGCCATCAGTCACACTGATGAAACTGGATTCTTTTCAACTTACTGAACTTGTGCTCCTGCACATCTGTGTAAATGTGTTCTTGCGAAAATACACAAATCTTTCCCCCAAATGCTAACTTTCATGCTTTATCCTATGAGGGGAAATGTGCCTTTAAAACATTCGTATTGTTCCTGTGTTTCCATCTGCAAAAAGGCCAGAGAGTAAAAACACTGCCGGCAAGTCATGGAATGAATTCATGGGCCAGAGTCCCAGAGATCTGAGCTCCGCTGGATGGGCTGCTTTTTCCTCCAACCTCCCTACTCCAGCTGCAGCATTCAGGAGCTGGGATGCATCTTGGAGGTTTTGGTGGAAACTGCCAGGGATGACCAGTGTGGAATCACCAGGAGTCCACGTGGGGTGGGGAGGAGAGCATTGCACTGGAGCAAAGTTGTTCTTACAGCATAAGATGACTGGCTGGTGATCTCCAGAAGTTTCTGCTTGGCCCTCCGCTCAGCGTCACGGGCTTCCTGCAAATCCTGCTTGAGCTGATCTGCTTCCTTCGCCCTGCAAGCCACAACAAGAGGGAGTTGTCAAGGCCAGAGCTGGGCCACGATGAGGCACGTCCCGCGCTCCACTCACTAGGCCACCCTGAAGCTGCACTTTCCCACAACAGCAGCAGCTGGCTGAGTGCTGCCCAGGAGAGAAGCCAGAGGGGGCGTTTGGTTGGTTTTCTGTCCATGGCAAATGCTAAGAATGTTTTGTCTCCAGGAGTAGAAGCTTCTATCGTCTAAATTCTAGTCTAACGCTAACAAGCCCCCCATGCAAGCAAAGCAGCACTTCATCAGGACGCTCAAGTGCTACTGCCTACCCCTTGGACTTGGCAGGTCCTTCTGCAGCTCTCCGAGTAGAAAGCTATGGCAGAGAAGAGGGTCCGGGGAGGAAGAGGAAAGACGTAGTGAGCAAAACACCATTTTCTAATCAGTATCTGGCAACAGGAGTTTGGCAAGGGAAGTGCAAAAACAGCAAGTAAAGGGAAAGTTATCAAGCGTGCGAAGACAGAAGCCCAAAGAAAGGAGGGGTGGGGGGGGAGAAGGCATTTAGAATGAAATTTGTGCTATTGTTAATTTGCTCACTAATAAATGCAATTTATGCCAAGAGCCCCTGGCAGCAGCCCTCTCATGCCCGGAGGATCAGCGAAGCAAAAACGTGGAAAAAGCCTCATGATTAGTCGGGGAGAGCAGGGAAAGATCTGTAGCATGATACTGGAAGCAAAGGAAGGGGGAGTAATGAATTCTAGTGGAATATCTAGAGGCAAAAAACTTAATTAATGGCATCAGAATGCTTTGGAGAATACAGTGTGTGTTTCTTGAGAAGCTGAAGAATCAGTCTTTGCCCAGAATTAAAGGCTAGACTCGATGACACTTCTCTCCACTGGAGTGCTCAGCAGAAGTGTGTGGGGGTGGCAGGTGGGAGAGATGAGATGACAAAAAGCTGTCCAAAGCATCTAGAGAACCCCATCAAATGGTCCTTCTGCTGGACCACATGGCCTGTACTGAACTGGATAAACAAAACATTCTCGCACTCTCTCAAGGTTTCGAAGCCCTTCACAAGCAATCCTTCTACAACAGGCCTGCAATATCCCATGAGCTATCCCAGTGCTGCTGTTCTGATGCATACTTTACTATTATACTGTTGCAACCTTTTGAATAATAAGGTTATAACATGACTTTGTGATCAACTTTCTAAACCATAAAAATCAAACAAGTTCAGCATTACACAGATTCGTTGATAACATGAAATTACTGTGATTTTATTTACTTCTGTTCTCCTTATGAAGTAAATAAACAAGACCCATGTGCCCCAACTGTTGCCAGAGGCAGAGGACCTGCATAATCTCAAAGGGGTGGGGGGACACATCCGTTGATGCAAGTTGGAATCTGGTTTGTATCTAGCAAGAGCCAACCTAATTAAGTCTGCCTAATGCCCTCTTGTGCCTCCAGTCTTAAAACACTGCGGTTTTGCCACCATGCCCTGAAATCTCTCACTCTCTCCCCCTCAAAACCACAGTAAGTATTTCAGAGGTGCCATAACAACAGCCAGCTGGGGGTCGGCAGAACCAAAGCAGCAGCACAGTGGCACTGCGGCTCCACGACGGAGCACACGGTTGCCATGCAGAAGGCCCTGCTTTAACCCCCCGCTGTGTCCAGGTGGGGAGAACGTCAAGGCAGCAGGGGTGGGGAGGGCCTTTGCTGGGGGCCCCGGAAAGGAGATGCTGCTGGAGCAGACAGCACCGGCCCAGATGGACTGCTGGTCCGACACGGCATCCCAGTTCAAAGCAGCGTTCCATCTAGTGGCACAACTGCTCCCATACGAAGAGGCGCACAAACGCTTCTGAGAGGACAAAGCAGGCGAGCGCTGCACACTGTTCCCCACGTCACCTCCGTTCCGATTCCTCTGCCATCTTCAGCGCCAGCATCTCAGCCTCCAGGACTTTTTGCTCCATGAGCCGCTTCTCCTCCTCTGTTCGGATGGCCGTGGCCTTGATCCGCTGCATCTCCTGCTCCGCTTCAGCCGCTTTCTGAGCCAGGAGCTTCGCTTCCTCCTCTGTGATCTGAGCCTTTTCAGCCAGCAGATCTGCTGTTTCTTCGGATCTCATCTGGACAAGAGGGGCAGAGAATGGCGTCCACATTTGACACAGGGCATTTCGCACCAGTCCAATGGACCGGGGGATCACGAGTCCCTTCCTAAAGAGAACTCTGGCCTTCTGCTCATGGGAGTGGTAGCCCTGCAGCTCTGGGGAACGCACAAGTGAACGCTCCACCAAGGAGGAAAACATCCGTGCTCACAGAAAATCAGGAGGAAGCCTGGTCACAACCCTTCTCCTGCGCATGCTTACTTGCCGTGTTCCAAGAACGCCTCCTCCTCCTCCAGTGGAGGCGTGCTCAGTCTGGCAAATGCGGTCCAGCTGCAGATTCACCAGCTCCACAAGAACCAGGTCTCCATCAACCCAGCACGAGTCTGAACGACGTTGGAATCCAGCTACTGCTTGGCTTCTTCGCCCACCTGCTCTCCCCCTCCCTGGCTTTTCCCCTCTATAGTGGAAATGACCAGAATGCTGGATGTGCTTGTCTGTGTGTCCTCCTTTCATGTTATAACCACTGTAAACCCTTCTGGCAGAAATCTGAAGCTCCTATTTTCGGCACTCCTATTTTTGGCACTTAATGGAATTTTAATCACTTAAATAATGGTATTAGTTTTCATTCCAAAAATGAAAAAAACCAGTTTACATGGGCAGGTGAACTTCTGTTCCAAGCAGTATAATTCCATCCGTCTGTTTCACCAACCAACCCACCCACCCCATGGCTAGCTTTGACCAGGCAGTCGTGTTCTACGCTCCCAACACCCTGAAATCTAGATCATGTGGCCTAACTTGTCAAAGAGGATTAGGTGCAAAGCAGCCATCTGAACGCACACTGCATTTCTCATATCAGGGTTACAGGGTGGGGCACGGGGGCTGCAATCCCGCTCCGTCCGTCTCTCTCCTGCTCATGGGGTGTCTTTCTCCTGCTTGGCCCTGGCTTACCAAGCAAGCCAAGAGGAAGGCCGCACATGCTTGCGCACCTAGCAGATCCCCTCTTGCGCTCGTGCAGCACACAGAAAACCCACAAGTCGCACTTGCAGAAGAGGAACTCTGCTTGGGCAGCATTTGCACGGACTCAGTTCCTGGAGGATACCCGTGCAAACACACACTCAGCGCGCTTGACACCAGGTCACACTGCGGGCGGCAAGCAAGTGGGCCAGTTCCAGTCGGCTGAGCCGGAAGTAGATTCCTCGCCCATCCCTGGGGCCGGGGGACAACCTCCAGTGCCGTGAGGTACTTCTCCTGTCCTTGGACAAGAGATGGTCTCTAGCAAGGATGAAACCAAGGAGAGCAGCAGCATCCACTCAACTCCCAGACTTCCACGTCTAAAGCCTGGACCAAAGCACCGCAGCAGCTCCCAAATGAGAATTTCACAGGGTTCTCTCTTTAGTTTCCCTTCCCTCCGAATAGGTGGGGAGACTGCCTGCTCTGGAGCTCCCACTACCGGAATCTCCCTTTCCCCAGTCGTTCCAGCCAGGACAGTCCTGGGATGTTGGAGAGTCGTTCACCCGAGGGTGGAGGTACATCCTCTTAGCGGCTAGGAACAACCTGCCGGAGACGACAGCACCTGGACCAGGAGGCAAATCTACCAGTGCAGCAGTGCCTAGTGAATACCTGGCTGGGCTTCTCAGCCTGCTGTCCATGCCCACTCACTCTGCCATTGCCAACCCTGTAACTGCAGAAGTAACAAAACCTCTCAGGAATAAGCTCTAATGCCTACAGCAGGAAAAGACCACTATAAGGTAAAACAGAAAAGTGCAACTGCTTTCCCTTTTAGCTACCCTAAAAATAACCCCCGCCCCCGGGGTCCTGACCTTGCAGACACAAACTAGACTTAGACTTTTGGAACCCTGGCTCTATAAAAAACAGAGATCAAAGGGCTTCCTAAAACCAGGGTGGGGCCTCAGCCTGGGTAGAAACCTCTGCAGATGATGATCGTTTGGTCATTCTCCCAAAGCTGCTGCATCTGCCTCTGACACATGCCTTAGTTCCTTGGCAATGGCACGACTGCCCATCTCTCCGACAGAGGAGCATGGGCTTGGAGTTGCTCAGGAGAGGTGTGCAACTGGGATTTGCCACCCCTCTCCATTTTCTTTTTACATGAACTGCTGGGATCCAGCACTGGTTATACGGTTGCTGGCACACACCAACTCTGCAGCGCATCAAAGGAAGGGAGGGCCGCCTGTTCTGGGCTGCCAACTTCGCCTCTGTGAGGACTGCAAGGGGGAGGTAAAGACACAGCTGGTGAAAACTCCAAGGGGACATCAGAGATCAGCACCCTGAACCCCATCATCCTCGGAGGGGTCTGACCCTCCTTTTCAGCAACGGATCCCAAGGGGGTAGGAGAAGCCTCAGCCTCAGAAAGGCATCAGGAAGCATCCCTCTCCCCAGATCTCAAGCGTTGCAGAGGAACCCCAGAGACCAGCTCCCTGCCCCAGAGGAGGCTGTGCTACTGCCCTCGGACTGAAGGCTTGGGCCATGAAGACAGAGTGTGAAAAACAGCCTTTCCCACTCCTCAAGCTGGACCAGCCCTGGGATCAATCCCTCAGTCAACACAGAGGTGAAGCTACTCAACCCAAACCCCAGTAACATTAAGCCCCAGTCTTGCTCTGACCTCTACTGGAGCAGCACAAGGACAATTCCATCTGGCTCCCAGCCCCCCTTAGGGCTTTCCATGGTGCTGATCGCCTTCTGCCCTGCTTCCTGAGCAACTTGATCCCACCTAATTCCTCCACAAGATCTGACCCCCAGCAGCACCCTGCCAGCCAAGCTACAACACAGAGTATCATCAAACCCATGGCCTGAAACAGGGTAGGAAAAAGCCACAAAGAAGCAGAGGCCTCCTGAAACCCCTTGGGGAGGGGGGCTGCTTTATCTACAGCAGGTTTACTGCTCTTTCGTGAACTGCGGACTAACTGCTGTCATTTGTGCAAGCTGAAGGAGTGTCATGCTAGCTTTGAACTAGGGGTGAAGAAAGGAATAGCCACTGTTTGCTCCCCGCAGCATTCAAAATGGTGTCAGCCTGCAGGAAGGAAAAGGGTAGGGCACAGAAAAGTGCATTAGGAGAACTGCGACCTTCTCAGGAACACTCTTTTCCTGCTTGCAGGGAACAGCTGGGAAGCAATCGCATGCTGCAGCCGAAGGTCCTGGAGACGAACACGAGAGACACCTTCGCATGGCTGCTCCTTGCCACAGCCTCACAAGATGTCCCCTCAGCTCCGTGTTCTTTGGCTCCTCACCTCTCTGTGCCTTGTATCTGCCTTGCTCCAAGTAGACCCTGCCTTGTTCCAGCCCATGCCGCTCCTGCCATGTGCTCACCCAGGAAACTGACCTTGGGGTTGTTTCTGACCTGTGCGCTCTCTGTGTGGCTCTGCTCCTAGGCTCTGGCCCCTTGGTGAGGCCCCACCCTCCCGCTTGATCCCACCCCCAGACCTGGCTTTCTGCCCATCCCTGCCGCTGCCCACAGCTCGGCCCTCACATGCCTTTGCAGAGCGGCTGCCACGAAATGTGAGCATGAAGAAGGAGCTGCACTCCCCTTCTCAGGAAAGGCCTCCGCACACACCAGCGGGCTGGAACGGGAACAGAACGCTGCGCTAGAGGGACCGTCCATCTGCTCCAGCACGGCCCTCCTCACTGCCTTGGTGTTCATGGGACAGGGTCACTGTCCGGGTCTGAGATCAGCCTGAGGAGACCTACCAGGGCTTCATTTGCCATGGTTGCCTCCTCCTTTAACTGCAACAGCCTCCTCTCCAATTCATCCCTTGTCCGCTCTGCTTCTTCTCTCATCTGCTTTTCTCGGGCTAAACGCTGGCGTTCCAGCTAGTGGGGGAAGAGAGGGAAGCAGAGAAGGCACAAATGTTAAGAGTAACCTATGTATGCAGATCATACGCATCCGGCACTAAAAAGAAATCCAATTTATTAGAACTATGCAAGTGACAGAATTCATATATTTACTCGGCACAATCAGTTCTGCTTCCATGATTCAGAACTATAAGAGAATGCATCAGTTTTTGTAAGGACTGAAGTGATTAAAGGAAGGCAAGGCACAGCTGGGGAAACTCAACTTGGTGCATCCCAAGACTTCTGAATTTTTACCCGAGACTTAAACGGTTTGTGCACCACTATCCTTACATGCCCACCTAGAAAAGCAACAGGCTTGCAACCTCTGTCTACCAGAACTGGAAGGAAATGGGCCTTTTGTAAGACGACGAAGAAACATTCAGTGTGACCCTAAACTGCAAATGAGTGCAGGCACCCCGACGTTTCAGCCAGCACCTGCTCACTGCCTTGGTTCCATCCTTCCCGCACCCCCTCGCTCGTGTGCACAGACACAGGTACATGCACGCACTTCCTGCCATAAGAGCGGGAAGCATTTCTCTCTTCCTTTTTGAACCCAGGCCCTTATAATCACAAGATGAGACAAAGCAGAATTGGCCGAGAGCCTAACAGGACCCTTAGTTCCTTAGTAACCACTCGCACCCAGCAGCAACCGACAAAGCTGGGGACAAGGAGTGGCTGCACGCCACCTCTCTATTGATTATCTTGCTGCCCAATTAATTTGTTCCAAAGGACTTCCAGCTCTCCTTGCCATTAACTCAGACATCTCTCCCTCTTCTCAAAAGCATCAGCCAAGCACTGGGCAAGGATTTATTCTTTACTGAACCCACCTTAAACCATCATCACCTGAACCAAACTGAAAATGGGTTGAAAATTGTCCTTGCAGCCACTCAAGATGACGCTTTTCTTGGCTCGGCAGTGCAGCCTAAGGCAGGGACCCTCCCCGCCCTCCACCCCTGCAAAGCTCACAACTGCATTCCCCTGTTCCTCTGGACCCCCTCAAATTTTATGGAAATTGAACTGCACATGTGTCCCCCCGCTCTGTAAAACCGAAGAGAGCATCCCTTCGTGCCCACAGCACTAAGCTCTAAGCCCCGAGCTGTAGCACCCCTGACATGAGCAAATCCAAGAACAGTGCATTAACCTAGCACTCCACAAGCTTAGCATCTCCTGGCACAGACGCGCACTCCACTCCAGAAGTGGCAATCTATATTCTGAGCAGCATCGTACAGATTAGCTGTGTGGGTTTCAGCAAGTAGAAAAGGTCTACATGCAGAAAACAATGATTCATACAATCCAATTTGCTGATATGCGCTCATTGGCTCCATGCGGCTGCCAACAATGTGCTGTGACTGCTGGCTGGGACTGACCCGCAGCGAATAAAGCAGGCCAGGCCCAGAATTAGCATGCAGGCCGCATGCAGCAGGAAGTCGCCGTGCATTTCATCACCATCTAATTAGGACACGAGTGCACGCTGCTCCCCCACCCAGGCCCCGTCTTAATGGCAAACAGCCTCCCCATGACAGAGCAAACTTATGAACAGCACAGCTCAGAGACGGGATTACACTCGGGGGCACCTTTGAAGACTGACACGTGCTGGCATGTGTGAACGTGCGCACATTAATGCTACACGTTTATTTTCTGACAAGCTGCATGCTTGGAGAGCCAGTGTGGTGTAGTGGTTAAGAGCAAGGGACTGGGACTCAGACGATCCGGGTTCTAGTCCCTGCTCAGCCATGGAGCCAACTGGGTGACTCTGGGCCAGTCACAGACTCTCAGCCCAACCTACCCCACAGGGTTGTTGTGGGGATAAGATGGAGGAGGAGAATAATGTAAGCTGCCTTGAGCCCTTCGTAGGAAAAAGGCAGGATATCAATCAATCAATCAAATGCTTGCTATGGAAAGGGCGAGAGAAGGAAGAAGGGGTATTCCTGAACTATCAAGGAAAAGCAAAGCAGGTGCCAAAACAAAGGTACCCATTTTTGGTGAACTACCCCGCAGGAACAAGCAGTTATCAAAAGAAGAAGGAAATGTTTATGCATAAGGACCACCACAGATTGTAACTGACTGCAGGGTAAGGGCCTGCATTTAGAGATAACAGACGTCGACTGATAAATTGTAAATTATCTGAGTAAAGAAATTAAATAGAGTAAATAGCTATTAAAATATATTAAATAGGAAATGCTGTAATATATTAGATATACTTTGCAATATATAATGAGTAAATAGATGAAGCACAAAAACAGCGGATTTGGGAGAAAAAATGTCACATGTAGTGACAGGCATGGGAAATAAGGTACCAGTTCTAAACAGGTCCAACACTGACCAGCTGAAATCAGTCCTTTCCTTGGAAAAACAAAGGCAGTGCAGCTGGCTAACCCAACCCAAGCGCACCCAACCAAGCAACAGAGCAGCAATTCCCAACAGTCTGCATGGGATTGAGAGTCTCTAAAGCATGGTCGATGTTGACATTTACCGAAATGAATTCTAGGAAATCCTGAAAGGACGCATTCCTCGAACATGACCCTATTTAAAGCACTGTCAACATTCCAAGGCATATTTCTCAGATTAGGGATACCTGCAACATTTGTCTGATCTCTTGCATGGGAATGCCAACATTCACCAGCGTTCAAGACATTCACCATAACACTTACGTGCAAGGCCAATACAACTGAACGTTCACAGAATTCTAAACCTCTCTCACCTGCTTCCTGGCCTTCTCCTCTCTGGCCTGGGCTTTCATTTGCTGGACCTCCAGGGAATCAGCCTTCCTCCTCCTCATGAACAGGTCATGGTTCCCAATGCACAGCTGAAGGATCTGTTCCAAGCAGAGACAAGAGGAAAGGGTTGGGCAGCTCCTTTTAACATGGTGTGGCATTTGAATAGCACCTTTCTCCCATCTATCCTGATGGGTGCTTGATCATCCAGCACGTGGAGTTTGGTTTACTGGATACCGGTATATCCTGCCTCTCCTCCAAGCACGCCAAGGTAATGTCCACTGGATCACTGCCCCTACGGGCTATGTCCGATGGGAGCTGAAGTCAGAACATCTGGAGGACACCAGGGGGAAAGGCTGGTGCACAAGATCCTCCTCTCCATCTGTCCTCCCACCAACTCTGAGGTTGGTGGGCTGAGGCAGCATGGTCCACAGTCAGCCAGTGAGCTTCATGATGGGAACCCAGAGCTTTCAAGTCTCGGACTGATCAAGACACTGCAGCTGCCACCCCCTTGACTCTTCTCCATGCCACCACGGTTGTGCCACTACAGTGTGGCATGGAGAAGAGTCCGAGGGGGGCCTCTGCGTGGCACCTTTCACATCTGGAGATGAAAATTCCCACATAGACGTCCCATCATAGGAACAAAGGGGGCGGCTTCACGCCAGGTCATTCCGTTGGCCCTTCCAGTTCCGTTTGGGCTACACTGACCGGCAGAGGCTCTCTGAGGTTTCAGACAGGGGTCTTTTTGTCCAGTCTGAACCCTAACCCTGAAGTAGGGAAGGAATCGTTCATTCCGGATGCCCTCATCACTCCTTTCTCTTGGGCACACAGATTTAAAGAGGACACTTAGAAAAGTGATGCTATCTTGCTTGCTAGGTTTTCAGGAGTCCTTGACAGGCAAAACTCAGGAAACCAAGGCCAAGGGCCTTACTTGGTCCAGAGGATCAGTAATGGACCAAGTAATCAGTTCCCTTGACAGTAGCCAACAGCAGAAGCATCTAGGGCTCTGGTTCAGGATATCCCCACGGAGGAATGCTCTCTGGGGTTTTACAGGATTGGCACTGTAACTCAAGAGCTGCAGAAGAGCAGACAAATTTGCATTCGCCACACAGCTGGGTCAATAAAGTGTTAAACTCGTCAGTGAGTGAACTCAGGAAAACCTCTAGGTGAACCGGAAGAACGCTTCCTCCATGAGGGCCTTAAATGGTGACCAGCAGCCGTAATCAGAGTTCCAGAAGAGGAAAACAGCAGAGGCCCCAGAAGAAGCATCTTTCCAGAGAGCTACTTGTTTTCCACACTCTTGGAGAGACAGATTTCTCACTGGGATCAACCAAATGACTCAGAGCCCTGCTCCTGCAAGAACTGTGGCTTGTCCCTTTCATGCCGAGCTGTTATGAGAGATAAAGAACTGCTCACATTTAGAGAGCCGCTGCCAGAGCTAGCTGACAAATAATGCTTGAAAGAGAGGCGTGTGACCACAGTCGGTCAATGCCTATTCCTTGTCAGGGCAGTGTTCCCACAGCCTGGTTCTGGAATGAGCCAGCAGAAACGTAGGGAGCGGTCTTACACCAAGGTAGGCCACTGTGGTCCAACCCTGACTGGCAGCCGCTCCCTGGCGTCTCAGGAAGGCACTTTCCATAGCTCTACCTGGAGACATTGGGGAGAGATGCGGGGACATTCCCGCAGGCAAAGAAGGGGCTCGGAAACTGAGCCGCAGCCACAAGTGGTGCCTCATAAAGGAACCAACAGAAAGTTTAAATGGCTGCCGTGGGTGGAAAAGCCCTAGGAGGTGAGGCCGAAATGAGAACAAACGCTGGGGGTGGGACAGGGGAAGGGAGAGACAAAGCTTGACTGGGCAGCTGACAGGCAGCCACTCCTGACCTTCATTTCTGCTGGGCCCACAGGAAGCAGCCTTTGGCCCATCGTGCATCACCCAAGGGCACTCGGCTACCTGCTGCTCACAGCACACTGGCATCCCCCAGCACAGAGCTGCGAGTGGCCCCCTGGGGAGGGAGCCAGCCTTGCTGCTCCGCCGACGGAAGCCCCAGCGCCCACCCTCGAACCTACCAGTTTATTCACCCTCAGCTTGGAGGAGTTGAATTTGAAGACGTCGATCTTTTTGTCCAGGGGCTTTATTGTAAACTGTAAAGGAGGCAGAAATGGTCGTGCTCAGGTAGATTTAAACTATCGCCACAAGAATGGCCAACATCCTAATGGCCGACGAGGCTGAACCCAGTCACGAGAGTGCTAGGCAGAAGCACAGGAAGTGCCAGCCTGCCGTCCACATGGCCCAGAACGGCCTTTCGGGCTCTCCAAGTTTCAGGCGAGGTCGTTTCCAGCCCGGCCCGGAGATGCCAGTGCCAAGGGGAAGGCCTGGGCCCTTCAGCATGCAGGGCACGCGCTCTGCTGCAGAGCTGCAGTCCCTTCCCCAGACGAGGAGCACACCCACACTGGCTGACTGCCAATGCAGCTTCAGGCAAGGGACAGCCAGCGCCCTGGGGGTTGAGGAAGTTCAGCACTGCAGGTCTTCTGCACCTCCAGGTGCCCCTCACACCCCACATGCTGGCTGCCACAGCCAATCTGAAGCACCAGTAAGGGCTGAAGCACAAGGGGGAGGCCATTACGGGGTGGTGTGAACGAGTGCCTGGAACCAAATCTGCAGCCACTGCAGCGAAACGAAATGGCTCTGTGAGGTGGCGGATCAGGAGGCTCGCACTTGGCCCCTGGGGAAAACACAGCGAAAACCGCAGCCAGCCACCTCTTGCCCAAGAGCGACATGAGCGGCAGGGGCTCTGCTTGTCAAGGCCTGGAGAGCGGCCAGGATTGCCCAAGTTAGCCAAGGACTGGTGGTTCGGTTTGGCAGGTGAGCTGGCAGTCTGCAGGGAGAGGCGACCTGCCGCGTTAATTCCGGCTCCTGCAAAAATCCCCCGGTTTCCTGCCAGCGACGGGGGATGGCCGCAGTTCCAGGCAAGCACTTGATAATTGCCACACCAGATTAAACACCTCTGATGTGTCACCGAGACTGTCCCATGCCTCCCGTAAGCCTGTTTACCATCATGTCAGATCTGACTTGCAGCCCTCTTATTGCTGGGCTTATTGACTGTCATCATAAAAGATGACAGCTCCTTCCCTCAGGGGGCAGGTTTATTACAATCCATTATGTTCAGGGCCTGGCAGACAAGGTCTTGGGCTCCCAGTTCCCGGAGGAATAGCCCCATTTGAAATCTTAAGTGGAAAAGACCTGTGCATAGACAGCCCAAAGCCTTGTGTACCCAAAACAAATGATAAAATGATCATTTATCCTTTTAAAAAAGAAACAGACTATCACGTACTAATTGCTTAAAGCTTCTGAAATGAAAGTAGCTGACGTGGAACATTTTAAGGTCTTTGCCTCAGTAAATAATGCCTATATATTATCTGTACACAGGCACACAGATACACAAACACACATGCACACAAACTACTACTTTCTTCTGCAAAGCACTATGTATACCGTACTTAAAGAAACATGTCCTTATTTTCTAGCTCTTTGGACAAGTAGAGAGATTCTCTATTTATAGCAAAAACTGGCTGTTCTGCTTCTTTACTAACTGCAGAGCCCAGGAAGTGGAGGCATTCTGGGGAGTGCTGCAAGTTCAGATCCAAAGGCTCTCATCACACATAAACACCACGAAAGGGGCAATTACAGGCCAGTGCAAAGACATGCTAGGGCAGGCAATCCCAGCTGATGAGCTCTCAATCTGCTCAGTCTAGCATCCCGAGCCAATTTTAATTTTAAAACCCCGTGTCAAATGGTTCTGTAAGAAAAACACAAACAGCAAACTGCTCCAGGGCTGAACGCTTCCATTCTTTCTTCTTTTTAACTCCCCTGCCTCCCCAGAGCTGCCTTCCCCATCTAAGTGCCTTCCAATGTGTTGGAAGTTCCCGTCGTTTTTAGTCCTCATGGCTAAAGAAGTATTTCTAGAACTAATTCAACAGCTAATTACTTAAGGATCCAGAAATAAAAGTAAGTGGTGGAAACTTCACTGGGTAATGCTTAAAAATGATGCACTGAGGATAAAAGGAAAACATTGGGAAATGTTGATCTGGGGTTGAGAATTCTTCACTAGACCTGTTGAATCTTTAGTCAGAGTATCTTCTAGCAAAGCAGATTCAGAGCTTTGTACGGAGACACCGAAGGGGCAGCAGGAATAGGCATACCTCCTTATCACTGTAAGAAACGTTCCGAATCTCATTCCACGGGAAGGAAATTTTGGGGGTCAGCTTGTTTTCTGGATCGTATATGTGGAGACCCAAGGCATCGACCCCAAGCAACAGCTCAGTTCCCTTCTTATTCTAAAAGGAGGGAAAAAACCAAGAGGAAGAACAGAACATGCCATTTCTATTGGAATCTGCACAGATTTGGCCGAAACATCCCGCCCCACTCCGTCCTTGGTTCTACTGCATCGAGCTGGTCAAAGCAGGATGGCAAGGGGCAGGGAGAAGCAGAGACGCAGGCAGGTGGGCCCTCCAGGGCAGAGTGGACTGCCGTGGCAGGGTCCCATCCTTCCCCCTCGGGAGAACCCCTCAACGGCCCTTCCTGGCTGCATGTGAAGTCTCCATGGGAAAGCAGCTGGGGCAGCTGAAGTCCTACCTGAAGCTTTCTTCTGCAATACGAGGGGAGGCCTGTGCCAATCAGCAGCAGGAGCCGATGCCTGCTGTGACCCATAGATGAGCCCTTCCAAAAGGAACAACCAAACCAGAGACCTTACCCGAATTGCAAAGTAATTCACGCCGTACATCTCAAGATCCTGGGCTATCTTCAAGTACTCCATTTCAGCTTCATCACTGCAGGAGGAACAGAAGGGAGAAAGTTCACAGCTGCAAAAACTTGGCAGGAATAAGCTGCTGTGTACAAAGCAAAAGACCAAAGAGACCAGCAGGCACTTAGCTTCACAAGCGCAGGACATCCCAGAAACAGGATTCTGTTCTGGCGTTAAAATTTTGTTTACAAGCAAAATCAGTACAGATCTAAGGCAAATCCATCGGGCGGGCCTGCTGTCTCATAACAGCTATTCAAACGGAAGCAGGGCTAAAGAAAGAGAACGAAAAACCCTTTCCAGCAACAAAAATTTCAGATCTGCAGCAGAAAGAAAAGGAAGTGCTGCCTGTGGTTGTACAGCCAGGAGGAATGGAGGTGAAGTGAAATGAGAGAAGCTGAGACATTAAGGGCTTTATCCTGGCGCAGCCTTTGCCAGCACAGTGCCTGCTTGATGTTTTCTACTAGAACCCCATCATCCCTGACCACCAGCCATGCTGGCTGAGACTGATGGGTGCGACAGTCCAAAGATCTGCACTTGGAGGTGCCTGGCTCTACAAAAGTCCAACGTGCGAATCTTTTTTCACACATGTGTAGCATTCTCTAGTCACCCTAAAACACATTTGTCTCCCATCTGTATACCAAGACTTCAGGTTTGTCAGAATACTGAGGACTTTCTTTTCAAGCTTCTAATTCTTGGTTGTGAACAGACAAACCTACCCCAAAAGTTAGGACCATAATGGCAACGAGAGGACAAAAGTTCACACTTCCTAATGAAGATTTGCAACACGAAAGAGGAGCAATGTTATTGGTTCAAGGCCCAGACAGCAGCATGCAAGTGAAATCCACACAGCCAAAACCGCACGGCCCGCACAGGCAGGCAGGCAGGCAGGCAGTTTGCTTTATCCGCATGTTTTGCAGAATGCAGTCCTAGTGAAATCCTCCTTCAGTGTGGGGTGAGACACGTGCTTGGTCCATTCCGTAACAGTCTTCGTAAAAACGATTAAATCACATTAAAAGTGCATGGATGTGCACTATCTTGTAAAGAACACCTTCTATCTTGCATTCGGTTACCCGCAACAAAAGTAAGGATCTTGGAACACACTGGCACACAGATATGCTGGGTAAACTTTGCAGCCACCTGTTCTGCTCCAGTCTGGCTTTCTGATGTTCCTTGATGTTGTTCTGTAAAGCCCCAGTGCCGCTATGGACAGAAGGGCTGCCAGTGAAGAAGACTGCCATGAGTCACCGAGCTCCGTTTTCTCCCTCTGTCTCACCACACACGCACACGCCAGCTGCATAGCTGAAAGTGCCTATCCTGCAGTCCCAGACGGCGTGAGGGCAGGGCTCCTGTAAGAACAGCCCCCCAGCATGGGTCTTTTCTGTCCAGTGGCCACTCTCCCCCCCCCCCAGAGGTGGCAAACCAATGAGAGAGATCCACATGATCCAACCTGCCCATGTGGCTGCGCTTCTCATGCAAGACCGGGTCAAAAGGAAGCCACTGACATGTGGTGTGAATGGGGCCACAGCCATGCCACTGCAGGGCATCAACCACCTCCAAGCTGGCTGCTTTTCTTTTCTTTTCTTTTTTAAGTAAGTTTTATTATTATTTTTCTACTAACAAAAAGAAACTAAAAACCATCAGTCATCAGAAACATCAGACCTACTGGGTCAGCCCCCCGTACTTTTTTTTTATAGTAATCTGTAAACATATTTAAGTCTGTGCATAGTCCTGTTTCTCTAGCCAATAATAAAAAGAATTCCAAGTTTGATAGGAGCAAGCTGGCTGCTTTTCTGAAGGGACTCACCTCGTCCTGCCACGGTGTTGGCCATACCAGGCAGTGATTCTTTCTTCCCACATTTCTGGGGTCATTTGATACAGGTTGATCACCTGGGAGTGAGACACAGGAGAGGAAGTTTACTCAGCCCCACCTGACTTTGCTTCAGCAGGAACTAGCACGATCCAGTGGTCCACCCGGCCAGGTCTGAAATTCCTCCTCAAGCACAAAACATCGTGAGGGAGCACGTGCAGAGAGAAAAGAGCCCTCCTATTTCCTGGGTCATACTGGGAGCTGTCGGACTATTTCTGTCCGACGGTGCATAGGATCACACCCTATGGGATGCTGTAACCTTTCAGCCACGGTGGCTTCCTTCCGCAAATCATTTAAGTGGAAACATGGATGCACGGATGGAGCATTTGGACACCACAGCTTGTGCACTTTTCCCAATACACGCATTCACCTTGACCTCAGAAAAACTAAAAACCTCTTTACAGTGGTACCTCAGCTCACGAACACCTCAGTTCACTACCAAATTGGGCTGTGAACAAAAATGTCATTAAAAAATTGACTCAGGTCGTGAACACCACACCGGGGAGATGTGTGTGATCGTGCTGGGGCAGCGGGGAGACGGCCAAGATCACACCAGTCTTTCCTGCAGGAGCACAACCGTGATCTCGGTCATCTCCCCTGCCAGCACGATTGCGCCGGTCTCCCCCCGAGCGCTCCTGCGATCACTCCCGTCTCTCCCGCCCCCAGCGCACCGGGATGACGGGCACGTGCAGGCATGACAGGTGTGACTGCAGTCGTGCTGGGGCGGGGGAGGCTTGTGCTCAGTGTTGGGGGGGTGGCCATGATCTTTGTTGTTCTTTATCACTTTGCTTCACATTTTTCTGATTAAAAAAAATGGTTACAGAACGGATTAACCTTATTTACATTGAACCTTATGGGGAAATTTGACTTGGCTCACAACCAATTTGGGTCGCGACCAGTCCTGGGACAGATTAAGTTCATGAGCTGAGGTTTCACTGATCGCTACATTATTGGGATTATTTAAGCCCTGAAATGCAGAGACTGGAGGACTCCACGTGTCTGCTTTGTATTAACAGGGGAAAAGTCCTTCCTTTATCTTTGATTCCTCACCATAGATCTGAGATGAGCAAGGGAAAGCCTTCCTTATCTCCCACAGAGGATCCAAGATAACAAAGGGGCTCCCTTGCTACCACTGGCATGGGAAACCCAGCCAGAAATGTTTGCACAAGTCACATCTTTCATGCCTCCCGCCGTAAAGAAAAAAAGAACAACCCAATGCAACAGAGCTGCAAGTCTCTCTGCCTTTTCTGTTCATGAACGTTTGTGAAGCACAACTGGAGACAACAAGGTGGAAGGCACCATTTCTAGAGGGAGGCAATTCAAATGTTCCAGTATTACTTAACATTCATCCTACACACAAGGAACCCATAAACTGCCTTAAACAGACCATCTAGCTGGTCCATCCAACTGAGCATTGGCTTTCCCAAGCAGGATCCCTCCTGCAGTTTTGCACCGCAACTCCCATCAGCCCCAACCATGGGCAACATTGGCTAGGGTTGATAAGCATGGTAGCCCAACCAATTTGGAGGGACCCCTGGTCTGAAAGGATAATGCACACTAACTCTGTCTCCCAGCTCTCCCTGGCAAAAGTAGGGATCGACTCCTGAACAGCACGGCTGGGCAGCATCTGCCCGAAGGCACAAGATCCTTACCCGTTTTGGAAGCAACTCCTCTTGAGCCAAGAAGCCGCGCTTGTGGACGCTGGCATCGTAATCTCCAAACTGCAAAGACATGTGGGCGTGTAGTGTGAGAACAAGGGCTGTGGGGCACAGCCTCAGTTCACAGCAAGACAAATGGCTTGCACGGAGAGAGCAAGCTCCTTGCCAGACCGTCTGCATCATGCCGTGGGCAATTCTCTCCTCCGTTCAGGGCAGTGCAGGGTGGCCCAACACGTCTCTTTGGCTGTGCTGGGGTCAAGGCAGCCACCTCGCTTTTCTGAAAGCTTTCTGCTTCTCCTCCCAGCCCTCAAAGATCTTCAAAACAGAACTGACTGTACTCTGCCCCTGAACAGCCTGAAATTCTGCTTCAGTGTAAGCACAGTCCTTTTCCTAATTATTACAAAGTGTATCGGCTTGAAAACAGAATATGAAAGAGTCAAGATGCCCCAATAAATGCCCCCCATCTCCCCCAGCTACCCAAAATTCTACAGTGGGGAAAGCTGTGCTCTGCAGCCCACAAAAGTGACACAGTCCGCCGTGTTTGTATGCCACTTCATCATCTGTTCTGGTTCTGCTAGTCATAAGGAAAAAGACTCAACGAGGCACTGAAAGCCTGGCACCCCAACATCTCTGGCTTTGGGGGTTTCACAGGTGACCACTTATACATTTTACGCCTATGAAATAAAAGCTGGCCGATTCGTGTCAATCCACGAGGGATGGTCATGAAACCTGGACTCCAAGAAAGCGTGCTGGCAGCAGCGGCTTTTTGAAAATTTAATGGAATGTGTGAAAGACAGAACATGTCCAACCTGAAGGATTACAGAGAACCGGGAGCCCTGAAAATGTAAATGAGGAAGAGAAGTGCAGCTGGATTTGGAGTGACTGAAGAGGGCAAGGGCAGGACAGGAATGAGCTGCTCTTTCATTTCTCTGAGAAGTTCCTTGTGGCAGTCGACCTGGAAGTCGCAGCATGCCAGCCCCCAGGGCTCAATCCCCCAAGCCCCTGCAGGGCCCAAAGGCTGCCGAGACCCAAAGTTTGAAGCCAATCCTAGCAGCAATACTGGCTGCATGGCCTTCTTCCACTGCCTGCCTTCCAGTGCCATGTTCTGTGCGCTAGAGACCCTCCAGGTCTCGACAGCGGCTGTGCCTGAGCCGGCAAAGGAAGCGGTTAGCTAAGGGCAGACGGCGGCTGGAGGGCTTGCTCCGGCTTTCTGCAGACCCTGGGGCACACTGCAAGACACCAGCAGTGCCCCCCACCCCAGGGAGCCACCTTCCCACCCCTGCCACCACCTCCTCCTCTTTCTCATCCCTGCGTCCACTTGCTTGCCTCGCAGGCGAAAACCAGGGAGCAAACGAGCAGCCACAGCAGCGCCTCCTCCATGGCCTGGGCCAGAGCTGGGGGCGGGCAAGGAGGCAGGGTGCCTGCAGCGACTCCAGGGGGCCCCTGTGTGGGGGCCCCTGAGGGGATGCGGGCCCTGGGAAGGTGCCCAAGCGTGGCAAGCCCTGCTAATGGCTTGACCTGGGGGCTAAGAAGCAGCCCACCAGAGGGGCCTTACCATATGCAGCAGGGCAGATGGCAACAGGTCTGGTCCCTCTCCCGTGGATTCCAGTTAATGTATTTTGGCCACTGACATGAAAGACTTTCCTTGCAAGCAAGATTTAGATCGGCAGCGGGAAATGCTTCAGACAGCGCTCTGTCTGGCTGCCAAAAGCTCTTTTACCTAAATTGGGTCACTAAAGAGTACCAAAGCATTATTCATGTGAGTCCATATGATCCATCATTCTGTGCCGATACCCTTCAAATAACAAGAAACCCAATGAAACAATCGCTTTGAAAATTGAGAATTCAGGGCAGCTGCCCCTGTAGCACGCTGCCAAAGAGACACTATACAAAGGGGCATGAAACAGCCCCCTCCGAGCAGGTGATACGGGGGAGAGATTTATAAGAGAAATATACCGGAAACATTTTGATTTGATTTTGGCTGTCGATGCAAGAACCGCAATGTCCTGCCATCAACCATTTATAAAGTCAAGACGTGCTTTCCTGCAGCAATTAACCCCAGTACATAATATTTCCTCCATCTCTACAGTCTCCATGAGGGCTTGGCTCCAATGGCAAGCCAGTATGGTATAGCGGTTAGAGTGCCAAGAGTGGGACTTGGGAGAGCTGGGTGCTGCTCCTTGCATGGCCATGAAACTCGCTGTGTGACCCTGGGCCAGTCGCTGACTCTCAGCCCAACCTACCTCACAGGGTTGTTGAGAGAGTAAAACAGAGAGGAAGACCATGTAAGCCCCCCTTGGTTTCCTTACAAGAGGGAGAAAGGCAAGATATTAATAGTAATCAACAACACAGACCAGAGGGAAGGAAAACACAACCGTCCTGCCTGTGCCCAAGAAAGGAAAGCAATCCCATTAAGCTGGTATCAAGGTGTTAAATGGGTGCCTATTTCTAAGGAGTCTAGAAAGACAGAATTCTGCCCAAGGAGATCCAGCCAGGAGCTGCACCAGGCAGTTTGTGCTGTGCTGACTAGCCAAGGAGGAGGACGGCACCCAACAGCCTCAGGTGCAAGTTTGCAAATCGGGGAGATTCCCCCAGGTGCTGCCCACATCTCTCCTCCAGCAGGCACCTCGCATCCCAGCCACGTAGTCAGCAGGCAGACTGCCGCTGGAGGAATCCGGTTTACTCAAGAGGCTGGCACGGGGGAAGTTGATGGAACACAGCCAAGATGGGAAGTCAAGAGCCACCCTCAATCAGCCTCTATTTAGAACGTGCACAAAATCTCGGCGCTCGCAACTGGCACCCACACATCTTCTTGGCTGTGCAGCCACTCCATAGCTCGGGCAGGGTTGGTCGGGGTGGAAGGAAACGTAAGGCGGAAGTGCTGCATTTGGAGCCAGCACAGATGTAAAAGGAAGTGTCCAATCAGCATCTGACTTGGCCTTCAATTCCTGCAAGAAACGCGCACCTGGGGAGAATCCAGCCACCAGCAGACGCTGGCCTTAGGGGCAAGGGCTGGCCCAAGTCTTCTCATTCCAGTCTAAGCAAGATTAGTTGGCATTTCCTGGCTCTCCTCTTATACCAAGTTCAAGGCTAACATAAGGATTATGGGTAAGGCTGTGGGCTTTAAATAGATGAATCAGAATTACATCAGTGTCAACCATAGAAGTAGGAGAGGGAAAGCAGGAGAAGGAAATCTGATAAGTACATTTATTAGTATCTGTATAAGCTCTAGGGTTCCTTTCTGTATAAAGCTTCCAGGGAAGCATACAACTGATAACACATTTACCAAAAAAAAAAAGCCATAAAAGAAGAGACATAGCAGAATCAATCCAATAAATTTCAAAACCAAAACTGGTTTGCAAACATGCCAAAAAACATCCTGGTCAAATAAAACGATCTTCACTTGGCATCAAGAGACAGGGTAGGTTAGCGCAGGCTGGAGATCTAGATTCAAAACCCCAGTCAGCCATGAAGTGCACTGGGTAATTTCATGCACTCTTTCGCTGCGTTCACACAACTCAGTGAGCAATCCTACATTCCCTGCTCAGTCCTCTCACTGTTGGCACTTAGTCCATCAGCCACTGTGCCTGACATTTACTCCCAAGGTCCACTGCTCCCCACCTGTTCCTTTCTCACTGGTCCACACGTACAAACTGGATAGTTGGTGTGGTTCCTGAAGCTGCCACTCTTTCCAAAGGACTCTGTGGTAGTTGCATACCAGGACCACAGAAACTATAATCCTGGGTTCAGACAACACAACAAGACATGGTGGTACAGAGAAACCATTGAACACACCATTGTTCCTTATCATGGTTTCTAAAGGCTAAACTTACCATGGTGAGATACCATGACTAGATTCAGACAATGCAACATACCAACAATGGTCATAACTGGTAGTAAACCACCAGGCCTCGTCATGTTTTCTTACCCCAGCCATTGTCTCTCAGTCTACCCTACCTGATGGGGTATGTGTGGGGATAAAATTGAGGAGGGGACTGAGAAAAACACACAAGCCTTGTGTTCCTTGGAGAGAAAGCAGGAACAACAACAGTCCCCCTGACCCTCAGTCACACTCCTCGGGAGTGGGCAAGCCATAGATTCAAAATGGCACAAGGGTGACTAGCAAAAGACCTTCAGTGCAAGGGGAAAGGGTTTCAGGGAGAAACAAGAGCAGCTGGATTCCTATGGGCCCTGTGGATTGCACAGGAGATGCTGCAAAGGAGTGGCTCCGGGAGGCGGCATTTGTGAAGGTGGTCCCTTGCAGAGCCCTCACAGGGTGAAGCCGCCTCTCACCTGGGTACCACTCAATCGCAAGAGGGTTGCCAAGGAGCATGAACCACCTCCAAGAAGGACTGGAAAGTCAGGAGAGATCTTCCGCTATGAAGGTCTCACACATGGAGAGTTTCTGGCGTACTCCTCCCTTGGATCAGGCTTGGTCAATGCAAACAATGAAAGAGATCCAAACTGAACACACCATTTCACGTCCGGGCTGAAATGCTCTGGCTTTTCTTATAAAGATTAAGGCTACTGCTGACAACATTCGGTTAACAGCAGTTTCCTTTCCTTTAACACTAAATCCTCTGCGATACCAGATTTCCCTGAAAGTAAGAGCTAACCAGAAAATAAGTCCTAGCATGATTTTTCAGGATGCTCGTTAATATAAGCCCTACCCCAAAAATAAGCCCCAGGTAAGATCATCAGCCAGAAGGATGTATTTAGTACATCCGTTGCAACACAATTTGGGGTTTGGAGAGTTATGATGATGTTCCAGAAGAAGATGACATGACTGTATTTGAATAAATGTAGATTTCTGTACATGAATGAAGGGATAAATGTAGATAGTCGTACATGAAAAAAGAAGACATCACCTGAAAATAAGCCCTGGCGCAACTTTTGGAGCAACAATTAATATAAGACCCGGTCTTATTTTTGGAGAAACACGGTACCAACCTGCCTTGTGTTCATTGAGGCCACGTTTGTCATTGGTTAAGTTAGCATAATGGGGAATAGTCTGTAGTTTTATGTTCCTAAATTTAACAAAAAGGAACATATTTGAGAACCTT